TGCACTGGGAATGGATTAGGGTAGGAGCTGACTGCACCTCTGGTCACCAGGGGAATGTGGAGAAAAAGAAGAAATCATACCATCTCCATCTCCTACCAGATCTGCCTTGTCAGATCTCCATCCACTTCCAAAGCTGCTCACAAGATGGTTGGGCCACATCTGACTAGTCATTCACCACTCAGTCTTCCTCTCACGCCATCCCTGCTCAGCCTCTCCTCCCAGCAAGTGCTCCTTCCACCTTTCTAACCTTTCTTCTGAAATCCAAGGTGCCAGAATTTTCATCTGTGTCTGTTTTATTTAGTCTCTCATACCTTTGTTGTAGAGAGTCTGTACAGTGTGTCTTCCTAGTTTGTCATCCAGCCGGAAGTCCTCAGGAGTACTAGCTTTTAACAATAAAACCTCATTTCACTACCATCCGTGTAAGAAATTTGTCATGTAAACTACCATTTCCTTTTCTTATTGTTAATTCTTACAGATATTATTGATCATGGGTTACTCTCTTGCATGTCTGTAGATTTGTATTTTATATCACTGATTCATTGCCAACATCCAAGTGTTTGTTTACAAACCTGTTTATGTTAGTTGCCAGTCTTATTTTAATTAAAAATGTGAAGTCTACATAAACACTTCTACATAAACATGAGTGTAAAGACATAACTGAAAGATTGGTGGTTCAAACCCACCCCGAGGTACCACGGGAAATAGACCTGGTAATCTGCTTCTCAAAGGTAACAGTTGTTGAAATGTTGTGTGGCCATGGGTGTGCCCATGGGTCGGAACTGGCTCAATGGTGATTAACAACAACATATGAACATTGCATCAAATGTTTTTGAGAGATTTTCTAAAATAGAAATTGTTAAAAAATTATTCCTGTTGTATTAGGTGTAGATGAAACAACTATAAATAATTTAGGGTACATTTCAAAAATTGTATGCCAAGTTGTTTTGCAAATGCCTTTAAATTTTCACTGTACTAAAGCAGTGGTTTTCAAATAGGGGCACTTTTGAACATCTGGAAAATTAGAATGCCTTGAAATATCTGTGATCATCTCAACTCAGCAGTGTTTCTGGTATCTGGTGGGTTCTAGAAACCAAGGATGCTACTAAACATCCTACAGTCCACAAGACAGCTTCCCACAAAGAAGAAGCATGTGATCGAAAGTGCAGTATTGCTGAGTGTGAGAAACCCTGCTTTAAAGAAACTCAAACTGGAAACCATAGGTGATATGTTGTGGGTATAATTTGTTGCATTGATAGCAAGCAACATTCAAAGAGTGTTTGAATCTGTTAAGATTTGATTCTGCTTCAAGTGACAGACTCAAAACAACAGTGTATGACTTTGCCATTCTAGCTTGTTCCTCTTGTCCTCATGTTATTGTTTGTTGTTGGGTACTATCAAGTTGGTTCCAACTCGTGATGATCCCACGCATGCCAGAACCGCCTGGTCCTACTATCCTCCTCACAGTCTTTGCTGTGTTTGAACCCATTGTTGCATCTCCTGTATCAATCCATCTCGTTGAGGGTCTTCAT